GAGGGTGGGGGTGGGGGGGGGGGGGGGGGGGGAGGGGGAAAATGGGGAAAAAATTGGGAAAAATTGGGAAAAAAGGGAAATTTTGGGAAAAATGGTGGTTTTTTGTGATTTTTTTCTCATATTTGGGTGAAAATTGGGATTTTTTAGGGAGGTTTTGAGGGCGGAGGGAAAGGAGGGGGAGGGGAGGAGGAAAAGAGGGGGAAAATGGGGGAAAACGGGGGAAAATGGGGAAAAACGGGAAATTTTGGGTTAAAAACGGGAATTTTGGCCATTTTGGGGAATTTTTCCCTCATATTTGGGTGAAAAAAGGTAAAAATTGGGTTTTTAGGGAGGTTTCGGGGCGGGGGAAAGAGAAGGGGAGAAAAAGGGGAAAAAAGTGGAAATTTGGGTGAAAAATGAGGAAATTGGGAGGAAAAACGGGGGGAAATCGTGATTTTGGTGATTTTGGGGCGAAAAAGGTGAAAATTGGGTTTTTTTGGGGGGCGGGAGGGGGAGAGAAAATGGGGATTTTGGGGGGAAAAGAGGGAAAATTCGGGAAAAAAGGAAAATCGGGAAATGTGGGAACTGGGCGATTTTTGGGGGAAAAATGCGATTTTTGCGATTTTTTTTTGGGTGGATTTCAGGGGAAAAAGGGAAAAATCGGGGAAAATTTGGGAAGAGTTTTTTTTTTGTGTAAAACAGCGGAAAATGGGAATTTTTTTGGATTTTTTGGAGTGGAAATGGGGGAAAATGAGGAGATTTTGGGTCAAAAAGAGGGAAAAGTGCGAAAAATTTTGGGGAAAATGAGGAAAAGAGACAAAATCAACCCAAATTTAGGGGGAAAACGGCAAAAAAGAGGAGAAATTAACCCGAATTTAGGTCAGGGATGGCAAAACCGAGCAGGAATTTGGGGTGAAAAGTGACAAAAAGAGGAAAAAAAGGAAAAATTAGGGTCAAAAGAGGAAAAAAAAAGGCAAAAAATAATCGCGGGTTTGGTAAAAATGCTCAAAAACCCCGAAATTACCCCAAATTCGGGGCAAAAATACTCAAAAACTGAGAAATTATCCAAAATTTGGTGTAAAATGCTCCAAAACTCCCCAAAATTACCCAAAATGGAAGTGAAAAATAGTCAGAAAAATCGAAATTGCCCCAAATTTGCGGCAAAACTTCCCCAAAAACCCCCAAATAATCCAAATTTTGGGCAAAAATACTCCAAAAACCCCAAAATTACCCAAAATCGTGTGTAAAATCGCTCAAAAACCCCGAAATTACCAAAAAATTCGGTCAAAAATGCTCAAAAAATGCAAAAAAATCCCAGATTTGGGTGAAAAATGCTGAAAAACCCCGAAATTACCCAAAATTTGGGCAAAAATACTCCAAAATCTCGAAATTGCACCAAATTTGGGGCAAAACCGCTCTAAAAATCCCAAATTAGGGCGAAAAAAACTAAAAAAACCCGAATTTAACCAAAATTTGGATCAGAAATGCCCCAAAACGTCCCGAAATAAACCCAAATTTTGGGAAAAAAGACTCAAAAAACCCGAAATTACCCAAATTTTCGAGTAAAATCTGGAGATTTTGGGGGGAAATTCGGGATTTTTTGGTGGAAATTTGTGGATTTTGGGGAAAATCCGGGGTTTGGGGGTGAAATTTGGGGATTTGGGGTGGAAATCCCGGGATTTTGGGTTAAAATTCGTGGATTTTGGTGCGAAATTCGTTGATTTTGGGAGGAAATTCGGGGATTTTGGGGTGAAATCCCGGGATTTTGGGGCAAAATTCGTGGATTTTGGGGAGAAATTCGGGGATTTTGGGGTGAAATCCCGGCGGGATTTTGGGCTGAAGTCCCGGGGGGGTTTTGGGGTGAAATCCGGGGATTTTGGGTTAAAATTCGGGGATCTGGGGTGGAAATACAGAGATTTTGGGGTGAAATTTTGAGGATTTTGGTGTGAAATTCGTTGATTTTGGGAGGAAATCCGGGGATTTTGGGGAAAAAAAATCGGGATTTTGGGAGGAAATCCCGGGAGGATTTTGGGGTGAAATTTTTGGATTTTGGGGTTGAAATCCGGGGTGGATCTTGGGTTAAAATTCTTGGATTTTGGGAGGAAATTTGGGATTTTGGGGTAAAATCCCGAGTGGATTTTCGGGTGAAATCCCGGGATTTTGGGGGCAAAATTCGTGAATTTTGGGTTGAAATCCGGGGATTTTGGGTTGAAATCCCGGCGGGATTTTGGGCTGAAGTCCCGGGCGGGGTTTTGGGGTGAAATCCGGGGATTTTGGGTTGAAATCCGGGGATTTGGGGTTGAAATCCCGGCGGGATTTTGGGCTGAAGGCCCGGGCGGGGTTTTGGGGTGAAATCCGGGGATTTTGGGTTGAAATCCGGGGATTTGGGGTTGAAATCCCGGCGGGATTTTGGGCTGAAGGCCCGGGCGGGGTTTTGGGGTGAAATCCGGGGATTTTGGGTTGAAATCCGGGGATTTGGGGTTGAAATCCCGGCGGGATTTTGGGCTGAAGGCCCGGGCGGGGTTTTGGGGTGAAATCCGGGGATTTTGGGTTGAAATCCGGGGATTTGGGGTTGAAATCCCGGCGGGATTTTGGGCTGAAGGCCCGGGCGGGGTTTTGGGGTGAAATCCGGGGATTTTGGGTTGAAATCCGGGGATTTGGGGTTGAAATCCCGGCGGGATTTTGGGCTGAAGGCCCGGGCGGGGTTTTGGGGTGAAATCCGGGGATTTTGGGTTGAAATCCGGGGATTTGGGGTTGAAATCCCGGCGGGATTTTGGGCTGAAGGCCCGGGCGGGGTTTTGGGGTGAAATCCGGGGATTTTGGGTTGAAATCCGGGGATTTGGGGTTGAAATCCCGGCGGGATTTTGGGCTGAAGGCCCGGGCGGGGTTTTGGGGTGAAATCCGGGGATTTTGGGTTGAAATCCGGGGATTTGGGGTTGAAATCCCGGCGGGATTTTGGGCTGAAGGCCCGGGCGGGGTTTTGGGGTGAAATCCGGGGATTTTGGGGTTTTTGTGGCCTCGCGAGCCCCCGGGAGCAGCAGCAGCGCCCGCGCCGGGGCCGCTCCCACGGTGACACCGCGAGGGCAAAAAACCCCGGCCCGCTTTGGGGGAAAAAACGGCGGAATCGGGAAAAAAACGGGATCGGGAAAAATAAACGGGAATTGGGGGGGAAAATCGGGAATTTGGGGGAAATCGGGAATTGGGGGAAATAAAATGGGAATTGGGGGAAAAAACGGGAATTGGGGGAAAAAACGGGAATTGGGGGAAAAAACGGGAATTGGGGGGAAAAAAAAAAACAGGGAAT